GACAACTCTTCCCTGGTAAGTCTCCAAGCGAGCCACGACCTGGAGCAACAGCTGAACCAGGGGAAAGAGGTACAGGTAACCCCATCTCGCCCAGTCCTGCCTGAAGGCATCGACCCCGATGGCCTCGCAGTCGGGGAAGGGCGCCACGTACCGGGAGACGCCTCGACCACGTCGACGTGAAGAGATCCATGTCCGGAGTCCCGAACGTCTGGCACAGCCAACTGAAGGAGTCAGCGTCGACCGTCCATTCCGAGGAAAAGGGAAAGAAATGAGACAGGCCATCTGCCAAGACATTAGACACCCTACGGACGTGAACCAATAGGAAAGCCAAACCACGAGAACTCGACAAACAAGTCACCCGAAGCGACCAGCCCCAAAGATCCAAGGACCTCATTTAACCTCCTCGGTTCAGGCAATGAACCACCGGGTAGCAGTCCGAATGGAGGCGGATCGTTGATCCGCGAGTGACTCAAACCCTTCGGAGCGACATCAACACTGCCGCGATCTCCCTGACTGCTGTGAGCCCGACGGAAGTACGGACCCCCCCGTCCCTGGCCGGCCTGGTGAACACTGGTCACAAAGCCCCAGCCAAGAGACGACGCATCCGTGAACACATCGAGCGAGGGCTCAGGTAGGTGCCAAGACCCTGAACCCCGAAAAACCCGAAGAGGCAGCCGGCAACGTAGCAACCAACGCAAAGCCCCCGGTGGTCGAACCCAACTGTCGCGAGAGAGGCGGAAGGGACATCCCAGAAGGAATCAGAACAGCCAACGAAGCTACACCCAACCCGGCAGGTAGACCCTCATGCCAAAGTTCAGGCTCCCGCACAAACTCTCGAGCAACCTCCGCGTGACCCGGGATCCCCCCAGAAACAGATGAAGGCAGGACTGCAGGCGAAGCAGAGCCGCCGGAGGAAAAGACAATGAAGTGGTGCGAGTGTCCTAAACCAGACCCAGCCAAGACCGAACCTGAGAGGAAAACAGATGGGACTTCCCTCCAGTTCACCAAGAACCCGAACCCGGCGAGGTGGGAAAGAACTAAATTTCTGGTGAGCAGACACACGGACTGACTGGGAGCCCAAAGCAGTCGGTCGTCGAGGTTGGCCAGAACCCAAATACCTAACAGATGCAGGCAGGACACCACAACCTGAGTAAGGCGCGTGAAAACGCGAGGTGCCAGATTCAACCCGAAGGGAAGACAACGAAAGCGGTAACCTTGACGCCCCACAACAAAACCGAGCCAGTCCCTGAACCCCGGATGAACTTGGACGTACCAATACGCATCCTTGAGGTCCAGGGACACCATCCAAGCACCCGGCTTCAATAGAAGACTGACCTGGGATAGAGTAGTATTATGATCCCAGGTAGCTGAGAAACAAGTCTACCTTGAGAGTTATTCTGCAAGACCTGACCTAAATAAGAGGTCAAAGAAATATAGACATGAAGATACATACGTAAAATAATTGGTTAGATTTGATAAATAGTTTAAGAGTATGGGCAGTGATCAAGAATATAAGTAAATGACTTGACATAAGATGTGGAGAGTTTGCTAGAAGTGTAAAGCTCGCTCCTGGAGGGCTTTGACCCCCACTTGAGCACAAGACATCGTGAGAGGAAGCCGCGCTCCGTGTGAGCTCCTGATAGAGAGGAACCCCTAGTGGTTATACCTTCAAGAGGAAGGAAGTGTGCAGACGTTTCAGCTGTGAAATCAAGCTGGGAACGTGTGGTCTCAAGTCCTGGATGGCAAGGATAGTTGTGAAGCCACCCAGAGACATTTTCGTGAGCCGTGGGAGCGCTCTGGTCAGGCTCCATCAAAGGGAGAGCACCCTGCAGGAGACCTTATTGTGGTAAGCCCAAATTTAACTAGTTAATAGTGATTGCCTATAGTTGATCGTGTGCCCAGCGATCATAGCAAGTGTCTGTTGATATGTTAGGCATGTTTTGATGAGGCAGAAGGCCGAAATAAGAGGGTAAGGATGGAGGAACGTCCTGGAGGCCGGAGCAATGTCCGTCCACTCCGACCGCTGGTGGGCGACTGAGTGAGAGGGCCGCCCGGGAAGCGGAGGGCCGCCCGGGAAGCGGAGGGCTCCCAGGGAGGGCAGAAAATGGACCAGCCGAAACGTGGGGGAGTCACCTCACAGCATGTAGAAAGCAGGGAGATGTCAAGTGAAACATTTATTGTGTGATTTATTTCAGTTATGTGTTTATAGAGGAACATTTTTAGTGGCGTGTCGATGGGTTGCAGGTTTGTCTGGGGAAGGAGTTCTGAGAACTTCGAAGCCGGCAGAGAAGGAGTAGTTGATGAGACTCCAAGATTGTGGAAGGTACTGAGCTCTGTGGAAGAGCAACCATACAGTGAGGAGCAGGACCTCAAGCTGTGAGAAGAGGAGCAGTGGAATGAAGTTTCACATGCTTCTGTGATACCAGTGGTGAAGCACCATTGTTGCTCAAGGAAGACTTCCTGGTGTAGCAGCCGGGACAGCTGCGGAGGACCCTGGTAGACGATTCTAGGAAAACCTGAAGATGTCAGGGTAGTGAACTTCCAGATGTGGAAAGGAAGTTCTTATTGACCACTTGTAGGGAGCTGGTAGTGTGTTTGGTTGTCATTAGCGTGCAAGACGCAGTGAAAGGTGGGTGATTGACTACCATTTTTGCGCCAAGGAGTACTTATACTGAAGTATAGTTACAACCGTAGGCTGGATTACCTGCAGAGACATACATATGTGTTCTAGGACTGATAGGGTGATTGATTGATCATTGTTGTTTATCAAGGAATATTTATGCTGATATTTATGTTATTGCAGTCATAGGCTGGTTTTCCTTGTATGTATTTATACATATATATTCTCTAGCTGATAGTGCAATATTATCTTATGATTCTTGACCTACTTGGTGAGGTTGGTGGTACAAGTGATGAGACAGCAGTTAGACTACCACTTGAGATAAGCAGCTGATAGAGTCCCAATGGGATTGGATGCAACCTGATTGCAATAGCATACAGTGTTGAGTTATTATTGTATCTTGTGTATGTTTGTATATGTTCTTTGTATATTAAATGTTTATAATAACATTTAATATACATGTTATATATATTTATATAACATTTATTTATGTCTCTCTATGTCATATAAATGTTATATATATTTATATAACATTTATTTATGTCTCTTTTGTATAAATGCCACCAAGGCCACCAAGCCAACCCCCATCCAACCCCAGGAACCTTGCCCTGAGGACCCGGGGGCCGAGCAGGCCTCCAAACCCCCCACCTCCAAAGAAAAAGTGGGAGCTGCCGAAAAAGCAAGAACGAAGGGGGCCCACTGGCCAGACCCAGAAGCTCTGGCAGAAGGACTAGGCTCAAATGCCGCAACCCCAGAAATCAACCTAAATCTAGCATGCAACGTTGAAGCTGCCTGCACCCACATATCATTATCACAGGCTTGGGTGAACTGAAGTACGTGCAGACAACACACATCGCACGACTCTGGGTCAAAACAATCACCAACCTAACAGGCAGCATGGCGAAGGCAAAACCGGTGAGTGTCACCCTGAGACAAGGGGACAGAGCAACCTTCAAACTCGCAAGACACGAGAGGGGACTCGGGGGTCACATCCACCGGACCACGTAGCCCCTATGGGGTTTTCCAGGGCCTTTAGCCTTGGTTACACGCTAAGGGAAGCCCAGGCAGGGTACTGCGAACAGCTGCCCAAGTCTACCAATCAAACTTCTAAAAGCTGAGGCCCCGGGACGTGTACACTCACAGGAGCCAAGTGGGGAAAACCACCAGCAGAGTGAGAATACATATATACCCCAAGAACAGCAATGGGGGACCACAACGGCAGACCACCCAACCAGGCAAAAAAACAAAAGAAAAAACTCCGTAAGAGGACAATGTACCCAAATGGAACAGAGCAGGCCGCTGTTATAGGTGAAAACTAGCTGTGCAGTACCATGCGCCCCTGCCAGTGATGAAAACTACCCTCCTACCCAAAGACAAACAAGGACAAGAAAAAACCCATCCGACTCAAAGGGCGGCCAAAAACCGAGCAGTAATCGGCACAGCAGAGGCAGATCCCGAAGTAACTTGTGGAAGAAGGGCCCCAAGCCACAAGGGCAGTACTTACAGGGCACCTAGGGAAGGTGTCCCTAGGTGCAAGCAGCCCGAGTACCGTGGAATCTCACTCCCAGCTCACGCATCACCTGAAGGGACAGCCCACACCACAAGGCACAGAACTGTAATGGAAAACTGGAACCAGAGGCACAACCGCACCAGACTCCTGTCAGCCTAAGAACTGTAGATTGGGTCACCGGCGATTAGGTCTGGGGCTCCCCCTTTCCCCTCCCGGGGAGGGTGGGGTTGCGCAGAAGCGGCGCGGTGATATGATGACATCATGCTAGTTTGCTAATTTTCATTTGGGGAGTTCTGTCCACCTGTTTGATTTTTCAGTCGCAATAATTTTACCAGAATAGTGGTTTGTTTTGGGGCGCCTACCTTTCTGGGTGCCTGTCCCAGTCGATGGCAGACATAGAATGCTCCCAACCACAGGGGGGTCTCCATAGGCCATTGCTCCTCGTGCCTCTCTAGAGGGGCCAGGTTCTCGCTCGTGGTCCCCGGTGGGCAAGAACTCCATGCATTGACTGATGCCAGAAAGATATACATATCAAATCAGCCTGGATAGCTCCGGGAAGCCGACGGGGCTCCCCCCAGAAAATTTGTCTTCTAGGGCAGTCGTCAACCGAGGTTCCACTGTATGATTATTATTTTTCAAAATGATCTTAAATAATTACTATCCACTCTTACACATAGTTTCATCTCAAGTTCCAAACATTCAAGGATTCTTTTATTAAGTGGAGACAAACTGCTGTGTATGTGCCACTGTTAATCAACAATATGGTAACCAAAATGTCTGAGCCATATTTGGCAATCTGAGTCCTTACATAAACCATCCAGACATTCACAAATCTGTTATTCAGGTCACAATAATTAAACCACTTCTTACCTGAAGACCAAATGCGCCCAACTCCCGCAAACCTTGAAGTGTTTTTTCGTCCACTTTTTCCATGGTATCATTTTTTGCTGCATCGTTACACTCCTAAAAGAAATGCGAACAAAATTCAGAAAGATGTGAATGAAATTTTCATATAAATAACACTGTAACCTTACTCAAGCCAACTGACCAGAACAAGACCCATCAGGTTAACCAAGAATTCCAGTTCTCTGAGCATTTTGTTACATTTTTTTGGCATACATGCATACATTCATACATGGCATACATTCAGGCGACGCCTGACAGCTGGGTGGACAGCGCTTCGGATTCGTAGTCCTGAGGTTCCGGGTTCGATCCCCGGTGGAGGCGGAAACAAATAGGCAAAATGTTTCTTTCACCCTGATGCCCCTGTTACCTAGCAGTAAATAGGTACCTGGGAGTTAGACAGCTGCTATGGGCTGCTTCCTGGGGGTGGAGGCCTGGTCGAGGACCAGGCCGCGGGGAAACTAAAGCACCGAAATCATCTCAAGATACATTGCCAATTATTTTTCTTAACCAAAATAATAGACCTCATCTTTTTTTATGTACATATTGACACTCAAATATTATATAAACAAAACATTTCCCAATGTCCCATAACCCGGTCGGTTAAGGGGAGCCCGACCGGCTCCCCTACCCGGTCGGGTAGGGAGCCGGTCGGCCGAGCGGACAGCACGCTGGATTTGTGATCCTGTGGTCCCGGGTTCGATCCCGGGCGCCGGCGAGAAACAATGGGCAGTTTCTTTCACCCTATGCCCCTGTTACCTAGCAGTAAAATAGGTACCTGGGTGTTAGTCAGCTGTCACGGGCTGCTTCCTAGGGGTGGAGGCCTGGTCGAGGACCGGGCCGCGGGGACACTAAAGCCCCGAAATCATCTCAAGATAACCTCAAGATAACCCCATCCCCCTCCACTACCCTCACTCCACAGGAAAGGTTGCCATAACAGAGCAGGAATAAGTAGACACAGGGACCAGGGAGAAAGTGGCACACCATTACACTCAATGCTATATTTCTTGGCTTGCACCCTTAACAGCTTCACAATGCTTATTCACAATGGCAGCTTGTTAACCCTTAAACTGCGCAAGGCGTATATATACGCCCTGAGTAACATGTCCCACTGTGCGCATGGCGTATATATACGCCCAAGGGTGCCAGGCCCGATTCAAATGGCCTGCGACTACACGGGGTTCACATAAGCTTCCTCAGGGCTCTTGTAAACAGACGCCATTTAAAGAAAAAATCGTGGGCAATATTCTCGGGTGTGAGAGGCACAGTACTGTTGGAGCAACCAAGGCTGGCGCACACAGCATGAGCAAACAGCATTCCTGTTCAGCTTGTGACCACAGCATCGCCGAAAAATGTCAAAATAAATATATAATTGCTATTATTTAGTGATGACAGTATTACAGATGACCCCTGACTGTGATATAAATAACCAGGGTTGTGATAATAGCAGGATTGTTGTAATAATTAGCGCTGTGGGAGGAGTGATGCTGAGAGACGGAGGGAGATGGCATCGTTTACTGACTGTGTGGCCACCTGTTATTGTCTGCATTCACCTTACCAGCTCAGTGGTTCTCTTTGGTGAACACAAATGTAGATACAGTGGCACCTCGATTAACGAGCGGCTCTATTTATGAGCATTTCCAGTAACAAGCAAGCCACTCGCAGCAAATTTGTTTCTATTGACGAGCTTCACCTCTATTAACGAGCAAAACCACATGGTACTTCCTAGCGTCTCGCGGGTTCTCGCAAATTCTCGGACACCTCTGACGCCAGTGTTGTTGTTGTATCGCACACGACAAGCATCCCTCTTTATTTATTTGTGCTTCTCTTTGGTTTTTTGTGGTTTTGTAACTACAATTTGTAACGCACGACATCACCAAAGAAGCTGCTTGCTAAAGATGAAGAAAGATGTCAATTACTTGTCATCTTGTCAAGATGAAGAAAGACACAATTACTGTGGATTTGAAGAAGGAAATTATTGCAAAGCATGAGTGTGGTGTCTGTGTGACTGATCTCACAAGGGAGTATGGCAGGGCCTCCTCAACAATTTGCACCATTAGTAAGGGGATGAGGAGGTAAGGGAGGAGAATGCTGCCTCTTCCAGTGAGATCAGGGAAGTGTTGGGAATGTTTGAAAAGCTGACCGCATTCTTGGAAAAACTGCCCTGATAAAGCAGTAACAACCCGGTGTGTGAACATGTTTAATGACAATTTGCTGTCTTGTTTTAAACATTCTAAAACAAAGACAAAAGCAATTGTCAATAGATACGTTCTTTGCAAAAGAAGAGAAAAGAGGAGCCAGTGATAGTGAACCACAACCCGGTCCCAGTGGGGTGAATTTCCCAGGAAGAGAGAGCCCGCCTGACCCAGAGGTGGATTCTCCTTCCACACCATAACTCCTCTCCTCCTTCCCACCTCCCCATCGTCTCCCTCAAGCCAGCAACGACTCTTCATAAGGTAAAGTAAACATGAAAACAGTACAACAAAACATTTATAATTACATGTGCAGTATTATATTTACATAAAAAAATGTCATACAAGTATGGATGTTTTTGGGAGTGGAAGGGATTAAATTTATTTCTTTTATTTTAAATGGGGAAATTTGTTTCTTAAGACGAGTTTTCCACATAACGAGCTCGGTGCCAGAACGGATTAAACTCGTTAATAGAGGTGCCACTGTACTTATATACAATGTGTGTATTAGGGTAATAACAGCAAAAGGAATATGCTGGGAGGAGCCATTTGGGTGACGGAGGTGACATCGTCTGCATGATTTGTCTGGCTGTGCAAAGGGTGGCCACTATGCACTTTGGGCACTCTACAAGCATCTATCTGCATCTATCTGGACCTAAAAAAGGCTTTCGACAGAGTTCCACATAAGAGGTTGTTCTGGAAACTGGAAAATATTGGAGGGGTGACAGGTAAGCTTCTATCATGGATGAAAAATTTTCTGACTGATAGAAAAATGAGGGCAGTAATCAGAGGCAATGTATCGGAATGGAGAAATGTCACAAGTGGAGTACCACAGGGTTCAGTTCTTGCACCAGTGATGTTTATTGTGTACATAAATGATCTACCAGTTGGTATACAGAATTATATGAACATGTTTGCTGATGATGCTAAGATAATAGGAAGGATAAGAAATTTAGATGATTGTCATGCCCTTCAAGAAGACCTGGACAAAATAAGTATATGGAGCACCACTTGGCAAATGGAATTTAATGTTAATAAATGTCATGTTATGGAATGTGGAATAGGAGAACATAGACCCCACACAACCTATATATTATGTGAGAAATCTTTAAAGAATTCTGATAAAGAAAGAGATCTAGGAGTGGTTCTAGATAGAAAACTATCACCTGAGGACCACATTAAGAATATTGTGCAAGGAGCCTATGCAATGCTTTCTAACTTCAGAATTGCATTTAAATACATGGATGGCGATATACTAAAGAAATTGTTCATGACTTTTGTTAGGCCAAAGCTAGAATATGCAGCTGTTGTGTGGTGCCCATATCTTAAGAAGCACATCAACAAACTGAAAAAGGTGCAAAGACATGCTACTAAGTGGCTCCCAGAACTGAAGGGCAAGAGCTACGAGGAGAGGTTAGAAGCATTAAATATGCCAAAACTAGAAGACAGAAGAAAAAGAGGTGATATGATCACTACGTACAAAATAGTAACAGGAATTGATAAAATCGACAGGGAAGACTTCCTGAGACCTGGAACTTCAAGAACAAGAGGCCATAGATTTAAACTAGCTAAACACAGATGCCGAAGAAATATAAGAAAATTCACCTTCGCAAATAGAGTGGTAGACGGTTGGAACAAGTTAAGTGAGAAGGTGGTGGAGGCCAAGACCGTCAGTAGTTTCAAAGCGTTATATGACAAAGAGTGCTGGGAAGACGGGACACCACGAGCGTAGCTCTCATCCTGTAACTACACTTAGGTAATTACACTTAGGTAATTACAAGCTTAGGTGTACAGTTACGGTGCATACAACTTGTAGATACTTATATATAATATGTGTATATAGTGTAATAACACTGCAAACAGTATTGTTGGGGGAGAAAGTTTAGTGCGTGTGACCTTGAATGAGTGAGGGAGCCGCCAGCTGTGTGTATAGCGACGATTCTTCGTGCCTGAACTAACTATATCAGCTTAGCTGTTCAGTTGTGGTGAACAAAACATATACATACTTATATATAACGTCTGTATATAGTGTCATAACACCACAAACGGTATTGTTGGGGGAGAAAGTTTAGTGCGTGTGGCCTCGAGTGAGTGAGGCAGACTCTAGCTGACTGTGTGTATAGCGACGGCTCTTAGTGCCTAAACTAGTCATATCTGCTATCTGCAAAACATGTAGTTTCTTATATATAACATCTGCATATTGTGAATAAAATATAAAACAGGATGGTGGGAGGAAAAAGTGGGCGAGTGAGGCGTTGTTGAGGGAGTGACAATGAGTGGCTGGTGGTGTTTGGCGGTAACTCCTCGTTACTTTTCAACTCTCAATACCAACTTAGTGGTTCGTTATGGTGAACAAAACATGCAGATACTTATATATAACCTGTGTATAGAGTGCAATAGCAGCAAAACCATTTGTTTATTGTTTTATAAACATAATAATTGAATCAGTAATATTCACACTATACTTTTGAGTATAGCGATTATTCACCACTTTTATTATATAAATATATTACAATACACACTATTGAATAATATTACTGCAAAAAAACTAAGAAAAAATCAATCAGACATAGAAATAATTAAGTGATAATATCTTTGTGGCAACTCCCATCTGTCAGCGCGGGTGACACTGACCGGCTCTGACGACCGCTCTGTCAACACCCACTTTTTGCCAGACTTCCTCGGTCAATTGCGCCCAAAATATGTCACCTACGATTTTTTTATATTTTTCCCATGCTCAGGGAACACAAATTAACATTTTAAGAAGACGAAATAATTTTTTAGAATTTTTTTTCTTGCGCACAGGGGTGTAAATGTCCTCAGGACCCTTGAGCAGTGGAAGGGTTAACCCATGGGCTGGGCCACTGA